AGGGTCCAGAGAAGAGCAACAAGAATGATTAAAGGTCTTGAGAACATGACCTATGAAGCAAGGCTGAAAGAATTGGGTTTGTTTAGTCTGGAAAAGAGAAGACTGAGAGGGGACATGATAGCAGTTTTCAGGTATCTAAAAGGGTGTCATAAGGAGGAGGGAGAAAACTTGTTCACCTTAGCCTCTGAGGATAGAACAAGAAGCAATGGGCTTAAACTGCAGCAAGGGAGGTCTAGGTTGGACATTAGGAAAAAGTTCCTAACTGTCAGGGTGGTTAAACACTGGAATAAATTGCCTAGGGAGGTTGTGGAATCTCCATCTCTGGAGATATTTAAGAGTAGGTTAGATAAATGTCTATCAGGGATGGTCTAGACAGTATTTGGTCCTGCCATGCGGGCAGGGGACTGGACTCGATGACCTCTCGAGGTCCCTTCCAGTCCTAGAATCTATGAATCTATGAATCTAAAACTTTAGGGAAAATGGATATTTATGTAATTACAAAACTTAGTATACTAAGTGTGCTTGTTTATATGGGAACTCTATGGTCTTCCCTGCCCTACAAAGTTTACAATCAAAGATGAATATGTGCAACACCAAGCACATAGTAGTGCCTACAGGCTGAAGCAGATTGGGAACCCATCAATGTGATAAACAGGATGGCAAGAAGGCACTGCAAGCCATTAGTTTTGATTCTTATTTGACAACTTCAGGTAGCAAGTTTTGGCTTGAAATGCTCAGTCTTCAAAGAATGCAACCAAATTCTCACCACTTGCTGCCATTAATTCACTCCTTAGCCTATTTTACAGTAAATACTGTACTGGTTAACATTTTGAATCCAGTATTTGACATCCCAATTCTATTTTCAGGTACCAGAAATCTTTGGAGGGAATGTTTAGCTAGAATCTACACATTGGTTTGTTTGTAGTTCAAGTGGACAAAGCTTAGTACTGTTCAGATACCAACTATTCTTACGTGAGAGCTGTAATTAGTGTGTTGTACCTACAGTCCTGTAGGTTTACATAGTGGGTATTTAGCACTTTTGAAAAGAAGTTGTCACCATAAGCAGCAGACTAATATTTCACTTTTTAGTTGTAGTACATATCTTCTCCAACTATTGTATTTAAACATCAATCCTGACTATGAAAGAGGTTCAGTTTTATAACAACGTTAATTCCATATTAGAAAATTGACAAGCAATTTATTTATTGTTAATGCATTGAAAAGTCAGTTTGGTACAGTTGCCTCTATTTTGAAGACTGAGTAACTGCTCCTCTTCATTTTCAGAATGACTGGGTCCTTCTGGAGTGTTATGGCATTAAGGAAGCTCCTTATCAGTTTGGTGGATTCCCCCCCAAACAATTTAATACCTGAGCAGTTGTCGTTCTGTTCTCTATTTTGTGATACAAAAATTAACTAAATATTTACAAATGTACTTACTGAAAGCAGAATAAATCCAATTTTACCCTTAAGTTTAACTTTAAAGTCTGTTCAGCTTCAGCAGCACAAAGGGGAACAGTGCTAACTCTTTGTTTCAGCATTCTCTGCTGCATATGTAAATTTGTCACTTCATTTGAGGGTATAGTGCCAATAGAATTCCCTTCCATGTGTGTTCATTTATAGGCAACTCATTACTGGAGGGGTTGATAGGTAGGAGATGTGGATAAGCAATACAAATAGCTGAAGGAAGTAAAATTTAGCACAATAAAGAGGGCATTACACTAATCTCAGAACCTTGGGGTATACCCATTTAACATTTTTCTAATTTAAGATTTCCATGTTGCTGTTGCAATATAGACATTGGTGTTTAAATTATTTCAATTCCACAACACTGCTTAGGAATCTTGAGCTAGAAATTCAATGGGGCGGGGGGAGAGAGAAGACTTTGGGTAAGAGCATGTTGGGCTATCAGGCTTTGGGTTTTTTTCCTATGCTTTGAATTTTTAGTTCCTGAACAATGCAGTAAGGGCACTACAGAGCAGGGGTGGGGCCATGACTGCTTACAAAATTGGGGTTGGGGGTAGGAGGGTGCTCAGGGCTGGGGCAGGTGTGCTCTGTGTTGGGAGTGAGGGGTTTGGAGAGGGGCAGGGGGAAAGGCTCAGGCATGCAGGCTATAAGCGACATTTACCTCAAGCAGCTCCCAGAAGCAGTGACATATCCCTGTCCCAACCCTGCACCCCGGGGCAAGTCCCAGACCCCGCTCCCCAGCCTGCGGGCTATCGTTTGCCCACCCCTGCTATAGAGCCTTAAAATTGCATGTATGCATTATGAAAATGAGATGTTTAATTCCATAGCACAAAAGCATCCAGAAGTACTAATTCTCATTGCGTATTTTCCACTCCTGGCCTAAAAGAGACAATAATATAGCTTTTCCATCCCTCTCTCCTTCAACAAAATGAGGGGGAGGTGGAAGGCAAAACCCAGGGAAGAAATTCCAATACACGCTGTAGCCCCAAAAGCTGAGGTAGATTGTCATTAAGGCCTGCTGGGGACAAATACCATCTTCAAGCTATGAAAAGGGGGGAGGGGGGAACCTGAATAAGCCTAATATAATTTAAAAATATTTGTGAAACTAATTTTATTGCAATTTTATACATTGCTTTAGTTTTATAATGTACAAAAGAAAGATGCAATTTAAATTTTTTGCATTATGTACAAGATTTCACCACATAATAGCAGAGATTTAGTAAAAAAGTTCAAAGTCCTGTGAAGAAAGACTATTAGTATAAATGGCAGGAAGCTACACCCCGTTTTCCAACATGTTACTGCTGCAACTGGTGCTTATTTACAGGTGACCTTCCAGCAGCAGCAGACTAAAGTCGGCATTTTGTTTACAATTTTTTTATACTTTGCAGCATGTTAACATTTACATCACCCATGCATATTTGGATTGCAAAGCAGACACACTACCTCTATAAGAGGAGCATTTTCAGCCCACTGGTTCTACCCTTCCAGCTGCAATAGGATTACTGCTTCACATTATTGCCAGAAAGCGGGTATCATGGGCAAGCAAAGCTGTGTCCAAAGCTAGAGTGGTTACCCAATGTACTCAGTCAGTATCGAACAGTTCAGTTTCTCATTTCTTTCCTTTCCCTTTTCCTTTTCCTTTTTTTGTTTCTTCTCTGGTTGCTGCTTTTGACGGCTTGGAAGACTTTGCCTTTTTTTGCTGGAAATAAAATGTTAAAATTTAAAATGCAGGTTTAGTGTGCCATGCTAAAATGTGACAAAACAACAAGCATCCTTATTGAGAATGTTGCCATGCTAAGTCTAAAGGAAGGATATCATAAATAGATAATATTAGTTACTTCCAATTTGTGTCCTGATCCTGAAGCAGTCAATAACCTAAATAAAACCTCTAAAGTGAAAAAGGACCAGGGACATTCACTTCATTACTTCTGTTGCCAAAGCTCACTGCACATACCAGGGCTCCTTGCATCCCTCCATTCCGTCCCTGTGTGCCACCCTTCCAGCTCCTGCACACTAGGGGCTTTGTACCTCCCCCACCATTCTTCTCTGTCTGGGAGATAAGTCATTGAGGATGGCAACAACATTTTAAACTGTAGTGGGCCAATGAGCAACACAGATGTTTTGCAGACACCAGCAATTTCTTTGTTTTATAGAGCTGATTGAAAGTGCTGGCTCTGGCAACCAGATGCAAAGAGCTCTGCAAGTCGCCCTTTTGCTTTTCCGATTTTCACCAAAATGGGCAAGGTCTGTCCTATTGATGCCGAAAGCATTCCCTGAAATTATGGAATTGATCAGATGAGGTGTTCAATTGCATTACAAACA